ATGCGTAGCCCCAGTGACCTAATAAATCATCTCCCTCAGGGTTTTGAATCCCATTTGCATCACTCCTGAGCTCCCATAGTTGATGAGCATTTGCAGATCAATTGTAGAAGCTTTTTTGTAAAGGAAAACACACAACTATACTTATATAGGTCAGAGAGTCAGGTTTTCTCCCCCTTTAGTATGAGGTAGAGCTGAAACATGTTCAGTCAGATAAAAATAGAGCTCTATTCCCATGTACTTTATACCACTGAGTAAAAAAAGATGTAATCTCACTTTATGGTTCATTTCATGAACTGTGCTCACTGGTGATATGCTGAGCTTCAGGGGTTGAAACCTTTCTCTGACGGAAAAGACTGTCCAGAGTCTTGTATCTGCTTTTCTTCATCCATCTATTTTATCTTTTTTTTTGTCCATTCCTCTATTTTCCTCCACTTTTCATTACCTCTTAAAGTTACAACTTTTGGTTTCTTTAAGTCAGAAGTGTGTCATTGTTGCCGTTAATCTGGTAACTTTTTCACTGACATACTTTTTCCATTTGAGGTATTCCTTCTTATCATTTAGCTGTTCATTTCCCACTATTGTTTTCACTTTTTTTTTTTTATATAATTTTTATTTTTCTGTGCTAAGCTTTTTTAGAAAGGATTAATCCATATCCCTCAAGATTTTTTTTTCCTTCTAACCCTGCATCAGTTCTGACGATCTGTGCAAATATAGAGTAAAATAAATTCATCCTGAATATTTTAGCAGTCTGACCTAATGTGCTCTTCTTGTAATAATGTTTTCATCAAACAGACAAACCTTACAATCATGGCAGTGTTTTTTTTTTTTTTTTGGTGTTTTTTTTATCCCTAGCATTAATGACATTGTGTTGTAAACATGGGTTTTATTAGGTAGCATATTTAGTTTTAGTAAATCTCAAGGATCGTGTTTTTATTTAGGGGGAGGGGTGTATCTGTAAATGCAAATGACATTTGTAAGAACAGATGGCCTGTGGTGTTTACCTCTTTACCCCTGAATACATTTCTTACACTTAGGATCTTTTTTATTGTATTATTTGTTAACATTAACAGTCTTCTTTGTGTCATGTTGGTAAATTTTACGACAAATAATATACAGTAGGTGGTGGAGTTTTACCTAAGGCACAGTTCAGCTTACTTGGTTAAAATGCAGCTTTTAGTTATTGTTAATTTACTTTGTAAATGGAAAGTTAAAGAATATTGTGTTTAAAGTGAGATTATTTGATATGTTACATGGAAATAGCAGTTTCCTGGTGTTATATTCACAAGCATTTGAAAGACGAATATATCTGTCATGATGTGCTTGCTCTTATTTTTGTAGCTGAAAAAACAACAATCCTTCCTATTGATGACAAAAAACATACTGATTGTTACAGTTATAACAACTTGATCTATAAAATGTATTTGTATTTTTTTCGGACTTTGTAACAATTTAAGCAAAAAGTTCCTTATCGGATATTAGAAATGAATATCAGTCCGTTATTGGCCAAAAACTAAAATGACCTAAAATTTCCCATATTTTAATGCGGATAGAAATAATCTGCCTCTGTTTAGTTTCTGTAACTCATTGGTTAGTTTTACATGTGCCAGTTGTTTTCATAATAATTGATCAAGCCTTTCCTAACATTCTGAAATATAAAATAACCGTATAAAATAAAAATAATTATGCTATCGGCCAAGGGCTGCACAATGATGCAGTGGATAGCACTGTTTCAGATTCTTGGTCCTGACTCTTTCTGCATGGAGTTTGCATGTTCTCCCTGTGCATGCATGGGTTCTCTCTGGGTACTCCGGCTTCCTCCTGAAGTCCAAAACATAACTTTTATTTTAATTGGCTTCTCTAAATTCTCCTTAGTTGGTAATATTTGTGTGAATTTTTTTTTCTTTTCTGTTTGTCTCTCTTGCCCTACGATAGACTGGTGACCTGTCGAGGGTGTACCCCGCCTCTCGTCCATTGACAGTTGGAGATTTGATCCTTGTCTATTCTGTTATTTTTTTAAGTGAAACAAGTATAAGTAGTTGATACTGGATCTTTGTGAAATAAAGGGTGAAATGCAGGTTTCCTCTTTCTACCACCTGGACAGAAACCTGAAGTAACAGATGAGGTGGGAGTAACAGTACCTTAGTCTATTGTATACCATGTAGCCGATGGAGAGGATTTGTCCCTTAGCCACTCTCTCTGATATCTCTAAAGGATATTAAACATGTGCAACAACATAACAGGAAGTGTCAGCAAATTTGGAACCATAAAGTTTATTAAATCTTTGGTGTATGTTCATGTTGTATTGACTGGCCTTAAATATATAGGTATTGTTTGCCCACCATTACGACAAATATCTAAAGTAAAAAGGCTAGACTCTTTCAATAACTGCTTTTCAGTTGTTGTTCAGTTGTCAAAGATGATCAATTATGTAAAACTGCAGTATAACCTGAATAGAAGCTGCCTTTTGATTTTTAAAAAGATAGAATATGAACAATAAACTGTAAGTAAATAAATCAGCAATATTGTATTTCTTCTTATTTTGTCTGCTGAAGGCGTGATTAAAGTAATAGATGATTGTTTACCACAGCATCAGTTTGCTGCTATGCAACAGTGCTCTGCTACTCTGGATATGAATGAATCTTGAAAGGTTGTAGAGAGACTAACAATTGTGAAAACCCCCAATCTTCCCATTAAAAAACAAACCCAGTCACTAACCCCTCCTTAGGGGCAAAGAGGCTTTGGTAACCCAGTCAATGCATGTTGACCTGATTTAGTTTGCGTACGTGTGTTTTTGTGTTTATATCCGTTAGTGTGTGCATGAAAAAGATTAGGATGGTGGAGTGGGTGAGTCTCTTTGACTGCAGAATCGGTGCCTCTGAGTGGAGATGTAGGGCACTGGGAGTTGTTTTTCTTTCTCTTTTTTTTGTTAGAATACGAGATCACATTGCTCTACACATCACCCATCCTCCATCTTTTAAAGAAGAAAATCAGATTTATCTCTAGAGAAGTTGAGTTTTTTGTTGTTTTTGAGCTATTTTTTAACAAAATTTACCCTTAAAGGATTAACAGCTTCTGTGAGGACATGCACCAACAATAGGTTATTTTCTGGTGTGGGCAAAAAACTCTTGTAGTCACACTTTGCTTACTCATGCCATGGGCTTACTTTCTGCTAACCAAAGCACCTTCCTAGAAACAAGCAACTGTTTTATTCATGATATTCCAGAAATGGCCAGATGGATGCAACATGCAGGTGCACTGCAAACACATGTACGCTTGTCACTTGGCTGATTGGAAATGAATTAGTCCAAACGAGTGGGAGGAAACAACCTTGTTTTTTCCCTTCACTGGCTTTACATAATGCACATCCTCCAGTCGCTGTTCACAGCATCCTGGCCACCTTCCCAGCATCCTCTTGTCTCGTAGGGACTCTCTATCTGTTCACCCTCATTTGTTAGTAAGCCAGGTCTTTTATCTTCAAATCTACACAAAATCGGGCCTGACAACAGGTTTCATCATGTCTTAAATAATAATGATCAGAAAGAAATGTAATTTATTATTTTTCAGATCCTGCATTAGCTGATACAAAGTGATCTGAAAAATGGCCAATAATCCTAATGGCCCTTTCCTTTTCAGTCTGCTTTGAAAACTGTTAAGAATTATATTCAGTGTGGTTTCTGGTGGCATTAATTATTAAGGAAAACTGAAAAATGAAAAGTTTTAGGCTGCTATGTTTTTTCATTGAAATTTTTTTTCTCTCAAGATAATGGATTTACAAATGAGAATGCATTTACAACTATGCACTTGTATGATAAGTTGCATTTGAAATTAAAATATAAATGCCTGTAATGTATGTGTAACATCCTTTCCTTTACCAGTATGTATTTAAATATTAATACAGTTTGTTATTGTGTGGTTATACTGTAACCTTATCTCTCACAATGAAATCAGCCAAACTGTGAACTTCAGCAACCCTGAGCAAAAGACTGTGATTTGGAAAGGATCAGTGCCTATAGCCTCTGACTCTGAATATCAAAGCGAACTGTATCTAGAGTATCTATATTATAAATGGAAGTTATTAATTAATTTATCTAAAGTTGCTTGATCTTATTGAACCCCTGATTAATTTATAAGCAATATTTTCATAAAAATTGAGATTTCACTTGTATCAATAGGATCTTATAATTAGGTTACTGAATGAAAAATTAAAAACAAATCTACAGATGACATTGGTAATGATTCAAAAATAAAACTGAATGGATCTTAAATGTAAAAAATATTTATAGGCAAACATCCATGTCACTGTCTTACTTTTATAAAACCCTTAAATCCGAAGCCACTAGTTGGCTACTCACTGCTATTCGTCCTATTATTCAGCTGCTATGTATCAGCTACACCAGAGCAACAAGATCTTGTGAGGTTAAATCACAAAATATCAAATTAATTTAATTGTGTGTGTATATCAGGGTTAAATCGTATTGTAAAACATGTTGTGAGATGTATTGTATAGTCAAATTCTTCCCAATTTACCCCCCTAAACAAAAACGGTATGTCGCTCTGACATATTGTCAGACTGTTTTGCACTTTGTTTCAGTGCGGTGGACACTATCTGTGATATTATTCTTTGTGTAATTCAGTATTCAGTGCAGGGAAAGAGTTTGTGCTTCCAGCAGTGCTTTAGATCAGGCTGTTCTGATTGCTCTCAGTGGAATGTTAAAATTGAGCCGTATGAAGTGTATTAACTGCCTAAAGAAGAAATTCATTTTGAGCAAATGTTGCCAAATAATCGGATGGAACAACTTTTAATCTAATGAACAATTAACTGACAATTAATCATAAGTCAATTATTTGTTTTGCATCCCTAATATGTACTGATGCCGATACTGAATTTGCTGGGGGTTATTTCTTCTAGTTTGAAAGAATTTTTTTATAAGATAAACATCTTGTTAATTAAATGTTTCAATTTTAACATTCTTTTCTTTTTATCTTTATTCTCTTCACAGATATGCATATTTTAAGTCCATAAATGCCTTTTTCATAATCTAATGGAGGAAAAAGCTTTAACTGGACCTGCCATGGTTTCCAGATTGCCAAAGTTTGGAGGACGTCCCTCAGCTGCGGGGAATGGCCCCTTGGGCAATGGTTTCACACAGTCACCTACATCTGTGCAAGATGGCAAGACCAATTCACCTGGAACACGCACAAATGGTCTAATCCGGCCTTCTCCACCATACCTAAAATGGAAGAAAGATGAAAGTATAAGCTCCTCTAACCATATCGCAGCGACTATTCCATGGGAGGGAAATGAAGAGAAGGCACAGAACCATGTGCCCTCACTGCCAGAGGTGAAGAATAGCTCTCCGTCAACCCCTAAGATGCGTAGGTCTGGTTCTTTGATGGTGGCTGCCTCCAGCCCCAAATCTGTCCCAAAGCAACTGACAAAGATAAGTCCCAAAGTGACAAAAGTTGGTCAAAACCAACTGAATGGAGTTTCTAAAATTGCCTGTAGTGCTTCAGGGATTCCTGCTCGAGCAGGGTCGGAGTCACGACTTTTACGGCCAATGTTAGGCACCAGCTCTCCCAGGAGCATTTCTCAGGATAGCCTAGCACAATCCAATGAGAATCATAGGATCTTAACGTTGGATCACATGGTTCGATCAAACAGTTTCACTCACTTTAAACAGATTCCCTCACCCTCCTGTGAGCCAATGGCACGGTCCTTTTCCTTTAATCGAGCAGTGGAGTTGGCCAAGCCTCTGGCCAACACTCAGCTTCAGCCCTCTCGTAGTAGTCTTCTCAAACCTCCAAGGGTCAGCAATGGTAGATTGTGTTTAGGACTTAGCAATAACCTTGGAGTTGCAGGGTTTCAGTACAGTAAAAGCCTTCCAGTTGACCCCTCCCTGCCTGTCACATCTATTCCTGCAGTGCCCACTACTCCCCGAGGCCTGAGAAAGCCTTTACTACCAAGTTCCGTTCTGACTAAGTCTATGACCAACAGTGTGGGGTCTTTAGGCTACAGATCAGCTGCAACAACTCTGGGTAAACAGCAGAAGTCTCCCCCAGATGGCCTAAAAGAGGGTATTAGAGAATTAGTCTCATCAGATTGTGGTGAACTTTTGAAGATATCAAAAGGTTCTGAAGCAGCTGATGAGAGGGCGAAAGCAGGGTCTGCCAGTGAGAGTGGTGGAAGCTCTGGAGCTGGAAATGGAATGGAAAATGGCCATGACCAAAGCTCTATCCAGATGGCTACTGAGACTATGGAGGATATGTCTTTATCTTCTGCCTCATCGTTGGAAAGAGTTGACACCAGTGAAGAGTTTCTTGATGATTTGGACTCTGCAGGAGATGTTTTCAGTGATGGAGACATGCCTGGCGACACTACTCAAACCCTCTTGCAGAGTTTTCCCAATGAAAATACTACCTGGGAACGTACAGATCTGACAGGTACAAGAAGAACAAGTAAATATTTTTGCTTTCTTTATATTTGTAACACTTATAAAGTTTCTTAAACCAATGTTTGTCTTCTTTTCATAGAAAATAAGGAAGAGACCCCAATGCAGGAATCTATTGAGGAATCGTTGCTGTCTCCTGTGCAGAGTGATGCTCCTCAGGGTTCTTCAGTCGAGCTGTCACCCTCCAATAGCTCTGGTGGGACCTATATGTGGGATGAAGAAGGTCTTGAGCCTCTTGGGGAGCCCAAGTCTCCATTAGAAAGTTATGAGGATTCAGAAATCAACAGCATGGTGAGCCCCATAAATTCTGTTGTACTGATTAATATTATTATTATTTAGAAATTTATAGTCTGATGCCATAAGCATGATTATTTAAAAATGAATGCATTTTCACCGTGTTTTCCAGAGTCTGATTTAATTAAACTTCAGATGTACTCTTAAGATATTAATATTTGAATTGATAGTAAATATTCTCTAAGAATACTCAGATATTTTTTTTTCTAAATCCTAGCAGTGCTTTGTGTTTGGTATCATTTTTGCAATATATTTTGAATTAATGTCCGCCATGTCTGCACCTGCTGGTACAGGATAGGTATTGCAGTGGTTTTAGTAAAGGTGTACTAAAATTGCAATTACTGTACACTCAAGGAAGAGGAATACTGCTTCAAAATATTTTTACTCAAGTAGAAGTTAACAGCCGTTGATCATGAAATGAATCAAATGTATCTGATTAAAAAATCATCTCAAGTACTTACTTGAGTAGAACTGTGTATTCTGCTTTAATTTGTGAAAAGCATGTAGTTATATTGACAACAGTATAAAATTATGAACACGAATAAAAAAAACTATGAATAAATATATCACAAGTATAAACAACCCACATCAATGCAAAAATAAAACTGGGCATATTTCAGTTTTCAAAAACAAAAAATGTTAAACCTATACTTATAGGTAAATTATACACACTAGAAATATACAAAGTAAATTCATTGAAAATATTTGCTGTTCACCATATATTCACTGGTCAATATTCATTTTAAAACTAAATATTACACATCAGCCATTCCACCAACATAATTCATTCATTTATCAGGCATTTTTATAGTGAGAAAAACAGGAGGATTTTGCCTGATCCAGTGTGTCACATTTACCCAACTCTTGCATGAGTCTGTCACAGTCAATGTTGATGGTATTGATATTTTTTTGTAGTTTCAGAAACAAATAGCCATACTGCTATTGCCAATTACACACAAGACAGAAGGGATAAAACTACAAAGAGTATATTTGTAGAACTTAGGATAAAAAAAATACCGTTATAGGTTATCGACCTGTTAATTATAAAATATCAGCATATTTAGTGACGGTTAAAATCCAATATCATGTATCAAGTACAACACATTTGGTGAATAGAAAAAACAGAACAATAAAGCTTGTTTACAAACTAGGAGTTTTATTGTTTCATTTTTGGTGAAGACATCTATCTTCAGAGATGTAACCAGAGGTGTAGAATGGGCAGGACTCAAATCAATACATTGGCGTTTCAAAATTTACATAAACAAATGTAAAAATTACACTGAAGCTTCTCTCAGAATGACCTCTTTTTTTATTAGATGCTTAGGTAAATATAACTAATTGAATGTCTAACCACTACCTACCTCTGATGTTCAATACCTAAAGCCTTAAGTAGAGAACTGATTTAATTTCCAAAAAAGTTGTTTTTTTCCCCTTTTTTAAAAAAAAAGAGAAGAGCTAAAAGAAATTTGAAGTTTGAGGCACCTAGTTTTTTCTTTCATACATTTAACATATTCGATATTTTATGCTTAGAAACTAAATAGAACATGAAGAAAGTTTTATATTTAAAATCCCTCGAAGGTAAGCATACTTTTTAATGAATCTGATAACGTATTTTACCACAATATTCACGTCCATGTATTTAAATGAATCCAAATAGCCTTGGATTTGCAAGCACTGTAGGATCATTTTTCAACTCATTATGAAAGTTCAGGATTATGCCTTAATTATGTTTTGCAGTTATATGTTACATCTTAAATCTTTTAAATTACACAGTTTGACTATGCTGCGATCCATTAATCCATTTAGACCCAATTTACATCAATTATGTAAAAAGTAACAGTGGAAAAAAAATGTAAAAAACACTGAAGTAGAGCAAAAAGGAATAATTCTCTGCTGCAAGTTTTCATTATTTTTGATGCCAAGGCCTCTTGCTATCTTGGTAGGTAATGCTAATCTGCTTTGTCTATATCCCTGTACCAGGGGTATCTGACCTCAGTAATGAATAAAGAGCTTAAAATGAGCCGGAATTCAAATTATATAATAGGCTTTGGGATGTTAACTACTTTCATGTTTTCATTTTTTTATGCATTTTTTATGCATTTAGGCTATTGGACAAACAATATACCTGTAGTTACCACAAAAGCCATAAGAGGATTTTATATGTTTGTAGTATATTTTTGTGCTCTCTCTGTATTTCCTCACTTTTCTTGTTAATGAACAGACACGTGCCTTTGCCATGCATTTTTCGATTAAGCAATTACACACCATGCCATAAGATGTGTGTTTGTGGCTAATGTGCTTGTTCTGTTTTCAGCGTGCTTATAGCTTGGGGTAAAATAAAGAGCTTGTTTACATTTAAAGTATAATGAAGACAGTGTCTAAGAAAACAACTGGTGGCTGCCGTCTTGAAGTATTTCTAAACTAATTTAACCACTTTGAATAACAATTTAGCACAAATGTTTACATAATGTCACTGTTAAGGCAGTAGTGCGCTCTTGTAGAGGTTTCTAAGTAGTCAATAAAAAGTGCATTACACTGATTACAGGACTGCAGTATTGGAAAAGCCCCGTATCATCACAATTTTGTTCAGATTTGTTTGTAACTTGAATTAAAAACAAGGTGTGGTGCTGGATAGAAGAGATATAAATTAGAATCTGACTATTTACATATTCTATATAACAAAGAAAATGATTTTTTTTTCTCATTCTCTTTTTGCCACATCTTCTAATGTTTTTAACTTTTAGGTCACCAAAAAAAGAGTTTAATTATTTCTATTGGCTAAATCATTTTTGCACAATTCCTGTTTGGTCTGGTCACAATTTTGACAGACCTCAGATCAGGGCTTTGTGATTGACTCATCAAAACATTGCCTTAGTTGTCATCAAACCAATTCCAGACTAATTTGTTTGCATTCTTAAGGTCTTTGCCCTATTTGCCCTAAACTTTATGGATGATGTCAGGACAAAGTAATTTCAATATTTTTCAATCATTTTTCTGAAATGCTGAAAATGAAAAGCATGAGCGATGAAAAAATGAATAAATAAAATGCTGCCACCTCTGTACTTCATATTTGGGATGATGTTTTTTTAAAGCTCTCAATCTCCTACCATATTAGCATATGTAAATGTTGGTTTTGAAGAATGCAAAAATCTGTACAAATATTCCCTTGGATTATTCTTGTATCTAGCAAAAATAAATAATTGTAATAATCCTAACTGACCCCCCCTCCCCCCCCACAAAAAAATTTTTTTTCATTATGTTTGATGTCAGAATACAAGATTAAAATACACTTTTGTATCAGTACATGTTGTATTTAAACATCTACTTTCAAGGTATTTGTAACAATCAGAAGTTCAATATAATGTTGAACTGACAACAGGTTGATCCTTCATCAGGGGTAATGTTCATTTAAACCCTTTGGTGGGCCATGTAATCTAACATGTAAAAAAAAAAACGAGTAGAGAACTCACTTAATGCATTCATGTGGTTTTGATAACCTTCTTCCCTGTTTAAAGAAGAAAGCCGTAGAATGATTCGGTCCTTGCTGTAGGGCTGTTGAAGGTCTGATGAGTGAGAGGAATCTTAGAGGTGAAAAACAAGTAGAAAAAAGGAAAAGGGCAAAAGCAGAAAAGGAGCAGATGTAGTGGCTGATTGCTGATGTGTGAAGATTGGCTCTATGGGGAATCTGCCTTTGAGATATTTAACCAAGCTATTTGATTAGAGGAAATGAATCCACTTACTGTAATTGGATGCACTGAGCTCCTCTTATCCCCACCCTTTTTGCCATTTCCTCTCCATCTGTTTGAATCTCACCCCTCATCATTCCCTTGTTCACTGAGTAAATAGTTGGCTGCAATGAACTAAAGAAGGCAGCATGTATAAATTTGTAACAAACCGGTGTTTGCGACACAAATTGGACTAAGTTTTTGAAGATTTATCCTACTGTTATGGTTTCATAAGTAATTTTAGGTCAAGGCATATAAAATGTATTATAGAGTGGATCATTGCTTCATCCTTCTTGGTCTGAATATGATGCTGGAAAGTATAGGAACAGGTTAAAGGCTTGGCTGAATGACACTTCTATATTTCTAAATTGTTCCTAACTTTGTTTCTTATGAGAGGGACAATGGGTTTGACACACGTCACCCTCCATACAGTCTGCAGTGGCTTGTTCAGCCCACTTGGAGGCACTGTGCATCCATAAACCATAAACAATGTGGTTATGCTCAAAAGATTTTCTACTATTTGCTTTGTGTCTGCCATCCTTTTTTGTGTTGATTTGTGGTTGTATCTGCATTCATAAAGCTCTGTGCAAAATTAAGGAGTGGGCTCCCGGAGCTTATAATGAGATTCCTATGACGTAGCATGCAGAAGAGCAATATTCCAGCATTGCAAAATGGCAGCTGAAACGGAAAGCTACATCTCACATTTGCTAAGTGGTTTCCAACCATTAGCTCAATCTATCAGCAACATCTGCAGGTCCAGACAGAATATAAAGCTAAGCTTTAAGATGCTTCAAATGTAATAGGATTGCTTTATTTATATTGCTACAAATCACACATAAAACAAGGTATGCATCAGATGGACAGAAGCTGCAAGATATTTTATTAAGATGCCTAACCTTTATAAGTTCCACCAACCAATAACCATTTTCAGGTTATTTGAAAAAGACAGAAAATAGTGGGTGCCTTGGATATGGTAAATTAAAAGAAAACAATTTGTTTTCTTGTAGAAAAATATGACCTTACATAGCTGATCAAATAAAATGCTGATTGATAAGTGAATATTTACTATCTTCTCACTTATTTGTTGTTTTAAATGTTATGTTTTTACCTGTTATCACATTGTAATACATTTTTACGCTAGTGTTATTATTCACAAAGTTTTTTTTTTAGTAATCATTTTCATAGCAGCCTTTAAATGCCTGTTGCTTGGCTGAGGATTTTCTGTTTCTGCCTCTTTTATCCCTTTTCTGCTACTGTAAACTCTAGGTAAAA